CCCACCCCACTCCAATGTTCAGAAATTATCCACTTCCAAAAAGCATTCCAAAGTACTGATTTTTACAGAACAGGAACTGTATTCACATGCACTGGAAACACTGACTTAAAACAAAGCCCACGGTTTCTAGGCTAAATGTAAGCTTTTGGAAGTAATGTAATAATAATAACAATAACAAACTAAATGTGTTTGTATGCATATTGCATGTCTGATGAAACAGGGGTACAAAATTCCTTTTTAATATGCATTCACATGTTAACTCAGTGCTGTAACTGGAGTCCTGAACACATTTCTAATCTTAATGACAGACTCTGCCACATGGAAATTTACAGCAAACCTGTCATCTGTAAATCAACATCCTTACTGGTCACTTTCTCTTCTAACGGCTTTTTGCTCCATCCTGTCTTTCTCTGACTCTCACCCGATGCGAGCTACTAGGTAGAGTTGTCCCTCAACATCTGCAGGGGACTTGTTCTGGAGCTCTCCCTCAGACACCAAAATCTGTGGATGCCCAAATCCCTTATATAAAATGGAATTACATTTGCATATAATCTATGCAATCCTCTTTTATACTTCAGATTATCTCTCATAATGCCTAATATAATGTAAATGTCATGTAATGATTGTTATTCTGTATTGTTCAGGGGAAACATCTGTACATGCTCAGTACATACATTATTAAAAAAATTTTCGATCAAAAGTTGGTTGACTCCTCGGATGCAGAGCCTACAGATATGGAGGGCTAACTGTACATGCTATGTGCTAACTATTGACACAGTGCACTTGAACAAAACAATTTGTACAGCTAACTATCAGATTCAACTTCGCTGGGGCCAAGGTAAAGCTGTCATGATCACGAGAAATAGACTGGTCCACAGGCCAACTTCACCTGCCCCTGGCTTACAGAAGTGTGTGCATCACAATTAATAATTAAACTGAAGGAATAGCTAATACAGTACATTGAGCTAGTATTACTTCTGTATCTGATTTAAGCCACATGTGTCAAGAATGACAGATGCAGGAATACGGAGTCTGGTATTGTCAGGGCAACTCCTCCCATCATTGATGGTGTGTGGCTGGGGGTGAAGAGAAAAAAGGAAAAGTGGAGTGAGTCATCTTTTGTGAAAGAGCCATAACCCAGAAGGACAGAAAAATCATCCTACGGAATCAGAATAAGGCTGCAAGGGGGAGCCTGGGCTTATGAGCCACCCTGAGTCTCCACAAAGGCAATTTACTGTGGATCCTGTGCCCCTCAGGTTAGTGAGGTCTCAGCACTGGGGTACTGATGGGTCCACCAATTATTATGATCCTAACATCCACAAATGGCACCTGTAACAGCAAAGTGCTGGCTGAGGGCTAAAAAGCAGGGCCTTCATCCCTCCTAGGGCTGGGACCTCATATCTGGAGATTGGGTCAAACAGTACCTTGCCCAAGGCCTGGCCCCAAAGGTGGCAGCAGTACCACCTTCACCCAGGCCTGTCTTACAGCAACGCTGATGCCACAATACACTCTGCTACTCTGCCACTGAAAAAGAGGGTGGCTCAGCATCCTAGGGTTCTTTGCTTTCTCTTTGTACTTCCCATTTACGTGTACATGGCTGCTTGACAGGTTAACTTCAGTGCTTCTGTGCCCTGAAGAGGTCCAAGGCAAGCTTACAAACTCTTATTAAAATTTCTTTCGGCCCTTCAAAGGCACTGAAGCATATATGCCTTTTAACCCAATCAGTTGTGTGTTAACAGAACTAAAAAAGGCAAAAGGCAATTAATTCTATGATAAAGAGCTCACTAGAAAGCATCCTCTTCTTCTAAGTTTGAAAAGTTGCTTGAACCTCAACACAGAAGGTCAAAGAACCCCACCCTGAATCTGACTCATAAGTATCTGGAGTTTGCAGGATGAGAATAAAAACTTCTATTAAATTTTTGCCTACAGTCATTTCTTTACCTGGGTAAGCCAATGTTTCTTCCTTTACGTGAGTCCTGGGTCTCTCTGCCTCACAGGGCTTATTTATGGTCATTCCATTTAAACAACTGCCTTCATCTGACCTATGGTCCCAGGCCCATAAGAAAGCCACATGCCTGGGGGCAAGAAGTTCACAGCATACCCTAAACACAGGGCTACAACACATATTCACAAAAGACTATCAGAACCTTCCAGGAGAACCGTGAGCAGGATTTTACACTCTTACTGTCATGTCACAGCCCTGCTGCTCCACCCCCCAGAGCCATCTTCTTAGTGAGTAAATCTAATTGCACCATTCCCAGGCCAGGCATCTTCACTAACCATCAACAAAATACAAATTTCTCCTATGTCCTAAAGAGCCATGCAGCCAATGCAGTCCGAAGCTGCTCGACAGGACTGCTGGAATTCCAGAAGCTGCTGGAATGTTCTAGATCTCTGCTGCCTATCACGGAAGCCTCCAGCCACATCATAGTGTGACTGAGGAACTGAATTCTTAATTTTGTTTTAATTAACAAGCTTAAAGAGTCACTCCTGGCTGATGGCTCCTGTCCTGAGTGGCACAGGAGCCACAAGTCAACCCCTGTTAACTTCTGTCATCCCCTTTCCTTTCAGCACCTCAAAGGCACCAAGTCCTGTCAGTCTCAGGGTCTTTGCCCACACAGCACACACTCACTTCCCTGCTCCCCTTACCTGGAAAAGTCTGCACATCAGATCTCAGCACAAATCAATACACAACCTGATCTCTTCCCTTAGGCTACTTACTATTATACAGAATTTGTAATAACCTAGCAGGTTTCCCTTATATTGCCAGCTCTCTCCCATCCATCCCACAAACTCCCACAAAGCACAAACTGCACTCTGCTACCAGTGTGTCCTGCTCCTCATGCAGAGACTGTGCAGGGGTTAATCAGTAAGTGTTTATGGACAATGTACACTGTAGGTTAAGTCATACTCTTGGAAGATGGGATGAGCATCCAACTATCAAATACTATTCTTCCTTGGCAAATCTGTTTCTGAGGCCCATGTGCTCACAAACGTACCAAACCATAGGCCATTATGTCTGTGAGGTGCATGAATGCTGTCTGATGCTACACAGGTGGAAAGTAGACCTGTTGGGCATATTGGACATTCCTCTTCTAATAAAACTTCCCCTTTATACTGGGTCTGCCAGGATGCCAGGTCACTGCCTACAGGCTGCAAGGTAGGGGCCTGGGTGTTCACTGAACATCCTTCAGAGGAAAAATAATCTCTCTAAGGAATCTTCAAATGCCAGACACCAACTCTACCTCTACCCTGCACAGTGTGCAGTGCTCAGCCTACTCTTGATTCAAAACAATGGCCCTGGGTTGGTGTGCAGCTCAGCTGGTAGAGAACATGGCCCAGGGGATCCACCAACAGCACCACACACAAAACAAAACAAAAGCCCTTACACAGGCAATGAGCTATGAGGAGAGAATGTGAGGTGCTATGGTTTGGGCATGCTGCCAAAATTTCATGGGTTGGAAACTTAATCCTAACACTCAACATGTTGATGATATCTAGAGGTACAGTCTTTGGGCGGGTTAGATGAGGGCATGAGGGTGGGGCTCCCATGATGGCACTGGTGGCTTTATAAGAAGAGGAAGAGACCTGAGCTGACACACTGCCCTGTCTCACCCTCTGATGCCCTTATGATGCAGTAAGGGGCCTCACCAGATGTTAGCACCAAGCTCTTAGACTTTCAGCCTCCAAAACCATAAGCCAATTTATAAAGACTTTAGTCTTTACAGCTTATCCAGTGTGTGGTAAGAAGAGAAATGAGACTAAGACATAAGAAGCATGAGGCCAAGGAGCCCTGTCAAGACAAACAGTGATACTCTACCCACCTAGGCTGAGAGACCCAAGAATGAGAGTCGCCATTGCTCTAGCCCCAGGAGATGCAGTCTTGGGCACATGGAGGTGAACAGGTACCTGGAGCAAAATCGAGGCTCCTCAAAGTGTAGCAGGCTAAGAAACTACTGTGGATCTCAGCACTATCTACAGAGAGAATAGAATACAGTGACTGTTCTGCTAGTAAGTGTTGTGGACCTAGACCAAATGTTTGTGTCCCTCCAAAACTTATATGGTGATGCCCTAGCTCGCAATGTGGTGGTACCTGCAGGTAGAGTCTTTGAGAAGTACTTAGGGTTTGATGAGGTGATGACAGTGGGACCCCATGATGGCATTAGTGTCCTTGTAAGAACAACAAGAATCAAAGGGAACTTTCTCTCTGCTCAAGTGAGAACACAATGAGAAGGTGCCCTCTTCAATGTAGGAAGAGGGCCCTCACCAGAAACTAACTATGGAAGCACCTTGATCTTGGTCTTCAGAGCTTCAGAACTATGAGAAAATGTTTTCGTTTCAAGTGCTCAAGTCTGTGGAATTTTGTAATGGCAACCCATGCTGACTGAGACAACCTATAAATATATGGTGACAGTATATGAATTAGAAAAGATGTCACTTCCTCATGTAACTGGTGTTTATCTGTTCAACTTGGTCTAACTTGCTCTATCAACTGTACAAATAGATAATGCCTACAATGTGTGCCAACTGACCATGAGCCAACAGCAAACTTCTGGAAAAGCTGAGTAAGGCAACAAGGGAGACAGCACACATTGCTAGAAGGCAGTGTGGAGGAGAGCACCTGCCTACCAGAGACACCCACCCACCTCTGATTATTTCATTGAGAAAAGTAAATGCACATAGGATAGATGCCAAGCAAAGCCAAGAAAAGAGACTAGCATCTAAAGCTTAGCCTCCCTATTCCCGATCATTAAAGGCCAAGATGGTGGCTGCCATTTGCCCACTCACCCATTCCTTGTTCTGTTTCCTTCTACCTGCTGGCTTCTGACAAGCCCCAATCAGCCCCAAACACCCTCCCAAGAAACACAGAAATCCAGGTTAGTGATCCACATACCCACCAACAGGGGGCAGCACTGGGCTTAGGAACCTATCACCCAGTAATTCAGGCAGGCCCAACCTTGACAGGACAACTCAAGGGTCACATGACAGTCTTGGCTTACCTTTCAGAGTAGGAATAGGGCTGTCTTGTCCATCTACTTGACCCAAAGCATCACTGGGATCTGGAACCTCCACTTCACCTGGGAGAAAGAACAGGCACACACGTTAAGCAAGCTCTCACTCCAGAAATCTTTACTTCATCAGGCAAAGTCAAGGGTGTTGGAGCAAAACTTCCCACTACTTGTAGGAAACGTAGAGGGGTAAGACATTATGGTAACTTCTACAGGAATTTTAGAGAACCAGATTTGATGCCATAGTAAAAGTGATAAGCTTATTCCAAGTACCACTCATGCGTGTGCACTGAAGCAGACAGATGAATCAAACTTATGAGTGACGCCCTGGGTGTCATGGGGGGTAGGGGCACACAGTAAAGTACTGGGCTGGAAAGATGAATCACTTCTGCAGCTGCTCTCCAGATTGAAGCTCCTGGTAATTAAGGGATAACTGGAGAATTCCTTAAGCAACTCATTTCCTGCTCATCCCCAGGCCCACTGGCAACAGCACAGCACAGATCAGCCCCACAACTATAAATTAAATGACAGAAATTTGCTCATCCTTACAATGACAGGCTAATCCCTTCTCTAAGGCACACAACTACCCACCCCCACAAAGACTGATAATTGTGCCAACAGGAGCAACCAGTTCAAATTGCACCCAAACATAAAGGGCAAGCACGGATTTGGTATCCTCTGGATTAAAAAATTAGCTTCATATACACATAGTGAGATGCCTACAGTCCTGGGGAAGGAAAGCTGCCTGAAGCCCTCACACGATCTCTCCCCAACCAGTCTTCCAATCAGGACTTGTTTACTTCCGGCCTTTACCCAGGATCTTGGCCTTGATGGGGTCCTGATGGTTGCAGGGGTTAGAATCTGAAGTTAAGGGTGAGCTGACAACATACTTCCTAGATGGATCTGGGTTTATGACATCAAAAGCCTGTTGAAGGGCTGGCAGAGTGGCTCAAATGGGAGAACACCTGCCTAGCAAGCATGAGGCCCTGAGTTCAAAGCCCAATACTCTCTCCCTCACTCCAAAAACGCCTATCAAAGAGCGGTCCTCACATGCAGTGGATTATTCTTCCATCTAAAAAGGGAAGAGATTTTCACCCATCCTAGAGCATGAATGATCCCTGAGAACACTGTGCAAGTACAACAAGCCAGACACAAAAGAGCAAATACCGTATGATCCCACTCATGTGAGGTTGCTAGAGCTGTCAAATTCATAGAGACAGAAGGAAGAACTGTGGGTGTCAGGGGCTGGGAGGACATAATATTTAATGGAGGATAGAGTTTCAGTTTGGGAAGATCTAAAATTTCTGGAGATAGATATGGATGTTGGTGATGGTTGTACAACATCATGAATGTGTTAACGCCACCAAACTGTATACTTAACAATGTTTAAAATTCAGGTGGGCATGGTGGCACACACCTGTGATTCCAGCAACACAGGACATATAAATAGGAGGATCATAGTCCAGCTCAGCCTGGGTAAAAATGTGAGACCCTAACTGAATAATAACTCAAGCAAAACAGGCCTGGGGGTGTGGCTCAAGTGGTAGAGTATCTATGTGGTCCTGAGTTCTTGTAGTACCAAGAAAAATAAGAAAATAAAACCCCAGAATAATGGTTAAAATGGTAATTTCTTTTGGCTTGGGTTTGAATTCAGGGGTCTCGTGCTTGCTAGGCAGGTGCTCTACTGCTTGGGCCATGCCTCCAGCCCTTTTTGTTTTAGTTATTAGTTGAATGCTGTCTCACGTTTATACACAGGCCAGCCTGGACCTTGACTGTCCTATTTATGTTTCTCAGGTAGCTGGAATATGTGCCACTGTGCCCAGCATTTTTTGGTTGAAATTGGGTCTGGCAAACATTTTTGCCCAGGCTGGCTTCAAATGGTGGTCATCCTGATTTCCACCTCCTAAGTAGTTAGGATGATAGGCATGAGCCACTGTGCCTGTTTTAAAATGGTAAATTTTATTTTATATGCAAGTTGTATGTCGTTAACACAACATCAAAGTTAACATCAAAGATGGCTATGGTTCAACATTAGGAGACTCCATTTGGTTAATAAATGAGACCCAAAAATTAAGAAACCACCTGGACCCTTCAGACACCTCTTAGGAGGCCTTGCCTGGCAAAGTTGAGGTCTAACTGCGAAGGGCAGGTGATTTCCAGACAGAACCAGCTGGGCAAGCTTCTTGAAACTTGCTAAACAAATGCTGGCCAGCTTACACTTAAAATCACTAGTGTGATGTCTCTAAGTTACTCTTAACTTCTCTATTTCACTGACCTCTACACCAAAGGGTTTAAGAAGTCTATATCAGCCTGTAGTGCCCTTGACCTCAGCTCCCTCCCCAGCTGCAGGCACACTTACTTCTTATTGGCAGGCCCAGGGCTTTTCGCTTCCATTCTCCTTACCACTTATGGCCCAAACTCACCTGAACTATCTTTCATTAAATCTCCCCCCAAACCAGACATCTGTTCTAGGCAGTGATATGATTCACCCTGGGTTAACAGGTGTGTGTACTTCAACACTACAACAGCTTGAGGACAGCACAGGAGGAAGGACTAATGGTCCTGTCATGAAAACCACAAGACAGACACATAATTATGTAAGGCAGCCAATAAATTTCTGTTAAAGAATTAAAGACTTCAGTTTTAAATTGGCATGTTACACATGCTGTCACTCAGCACTGTTTAAATGTAGAGAGACCACATGAAATCAAACACACTTGCACTATACATATACACACTGAAAAGAGGCATGAAAATTATTAACTGCTTAGGGATTGACAAATGGAGTGAAACAGTCAAATAAACATATACTCTGAAGAAAAATAAGCTCTGGTATCCCAAGTCCACTGTGGAAAAGATTGCAGGTTCTTCTCAGTCAGCTTCTAATTCAGAAGTAGAGCTCTTTTCTGGTATGGACACTTCTTGCAGGAGATTAGGTGGAGGTGACTCCAGTACTCCTTTATTCTTAGCAGATACGATCTGGGCACATACATGTAAAATCACCGTGACACTTCCAATACTGGGAGTCTCTGTGAGTATGTTTTGCTGCTTAGTATGTACACTGGGATTTGATTTTTGTTTCACTTAGCACCATATGCTAACCTAAATAAAAATTTGGGCGGTATCTGAGCAAAAAAGTATATTATCCATATATTTGAAAAAATGGGTGACATTTCAAATAGTCCACAAGGCTGATACCAGAGCCCCACAAGCTTTGGAACTTCTAGAAGCTGCATGCTTTCCTCTGCAAGTCAGACAGGGTTAAAATTTCAGGATGTCATAATCGAGATCCTTACATGCCATCTTTAATTTCAACAAAACTGTCATTATTTGCTGCTACATTAGGACATTATTTATATTTTGAAATTCAAAAACCACATAAAGCTTAGGAAGAGTGGTTGTCCTCACTCAAGATACTGTGTCTTCCTAAAATCAGTAAGCAAAATATGACAGGGAAGTACGCAAACTTGGAAGACAGGGAAAAGTCAGAACAGGGCCCAGTGTTCTCAGCAAATCTCATGAGGGTTTGTTCTGGCCCTACAAAGGGTTAAGATGAAGTGGCTGGGTCAGCGCTAGCTGAGCACTGCCCACGTGGCTCCACATGAGGAATGGGACATGTGTGAGCCTGGGGTTTCTCCTGGCCCTAAAAAGGGTTAAGAATAATGTAAAGAAAAAAATACAGCAAACAATATACAAAAACAACATCAATATATACTGCACTCCCACACACATCAAAATATTGCTGTTAGTTATCTGGTATCATAGCTAATCTAAATTTCATCTTTAAATGACTCTTCAGTGAACAATCACCTTTTTTTTTAAAACTAAGATATAACTTGCACCACCAAATGTAAAATATTTTACATTTTATATTTTCAGTGGGTTTTAGTATATTCTTAATGCTGTACAACCATCACGATGATCAGGTTTTGGAACATTTCATCACTCCAAAAAGAAACCTTATTCTCAACAGCAGTCGCCTCCACATTCTACCTCCCTCAGTCCCTGGTAACCACTAATCTCCTGTATAGATTTACCTCTCCTGGGCATTTTATACAAATGGAATCATAGAATATGTTGCTTCCAAACAATCATAAACTTTTTGATGAGCTTTTCTGAATTGTATGCCCTATAGTAGCAAAAAGAAAAAGATGGGCGGATAGAAGCCACTCCCTATGTGCCTACAGAGGGCATGAAGTTGCTTGGTTGGTGCTAGTTGGGGCACTGCCCACCCGGGCTCCTCATGAGGAATGGGATATAAGTGAACTTGGGGTGGCTCAAGGATGGAGCTACCTCCACAGTGTCAGCCAGAGCTCCCAGGAGTGCAGATGTGAGGTCAGGACAGAGCAGAACTCCTGCTGCAGAAGAAAGGGGGTAGGGATGGGAGGTGGACAGGAACAGGGAAGACTAACGAAGGGTTTTATCACAGCCAGTAGGGGCCACCATACCAATGCATCACTGGGAACAACTTCACCCAGCTCCCAGTCACTATTCCTGCTGAACAGTTTTTGATCAGCTTTTAATACCGTGAACTACCTGTGCAATTTATGCCAGCCCAAGTACGCTTTTATGCTCTTAAGCCTTTACACAGCCCAGCATATCCATGCTGTTATACCCAAGAAGGGTAAACATAGTACAAATCAGGTACTTTGAGAGAGAAGAGACCATGTTCACTTAACTTTTCTCAGCAGCAGCACAGGTAACTTTCACTGAAAAAACACACAGTGACATGGTAAGGCTACTCAACCCTTTTGAGAGCCTCAGTAGGGTGCTGGGGTTTTATGAGCTTATTATATTTTTGATGTCTAAAAAGAGGAAAATATATAACATGAAAAAAACCTAGGTATAGCTGGTTATGATGAAATGATACACTGAATATGCAGTCAAAACCCTCAAAACCCAGAAGCAAAGACTAAATAAATATAATGTGGAACGCTGGGTGGGATTCTAGAACAGAAAAAGGATGATATTAGGTAAAAGTAAAGGAAATATGACTAGAATGTTTTTAGTCAAGAATAATGTATCAGTGTTGTATGATAAATAGACCAGACTAATGTAAGATGATAACA